TTCAGCCAGCAAATGGAAATATAAGGTAACAATTACGTAATATTCAGACGCATTCAGTTTGGCTCATTTTAAAGATTGAAGAGTACAATCTGGGTCTGCGGACTCTATAAAGCCTGGAAAATTATTTTCTCTGGCCCCAATAAGGCAGCCGTATTTGACAGGCTAATTCAAGTTAATATTGTTTGAATTGCGAATATTGTTATAAATAACAATATAGCTCTTGATTTTTATCTAAAAACAGAACGAAAATAATCCCCAACCATTGCTGTAAATCAGGAAATTTAAGAGCAATTTCGCTTACTAAAATACTGTTTAAATTATAAAATGTTTCTATCAAGGACAACACTGAAAAACAAATACGTAGAAGTTAAAATCCGACGGACAAGGAAATATAAACTCATATTCCTCTCTTTATAAAGCCAGAATAAAATATCACATAAATACATAGTTTTCTTTTATGCGAGAGCACTACACTACACTACACTACACACGCACAACACACACACACACACACACACACACATATATATATATATATATATATATATATATATATATATATATATATATATATATATATATATATATATATATACAATTATGTTGGCTAAAGTGGTTTTGGGCATTAACTGTCCGAAAACCACAATTTCTGAGAAACATCAAGTTGTTCAGTCCTTTGGGTTCATAATGAAGGATGGTTGGGCTAGCCCTGACGCTTTGGAATTTTTCTTTGTCAACCCCTGTTTTACTGATTCAATATCTTCTATTTCTTGACTGACATTCCAAAAGTTCCTTCAATCAGCTACTGAGTTGTTTGTTTGTAGAGACACTGTGAGCTGTGGATTTAAGGTAGTAAGTTTTTTCTTCTTTTGTGCCTGAGGTGGTCTGGTGTTGTGAAATGTTGTGAAAAAAAATGACGGGTGGCCGATGACGTTCCATATAGTGTATGCTTACGAAATATTGCGTGAGCAAATGCTGGCAATCATGACTGACTACTAGTATCAAAAGTAAGCTGCACTTCTTAGGGAAGATTGTCAGTGTTGGCACATCTGACAGCAACTTGTGCACTTACTTTGCGTATGCGAGCTTGAAGATTAAGCCTGGAGTGGTATCCATTTCATTACTTTTCAAATGAGACAGCGGAGGACATTTTATGTGACTTTCACTGGCACAGGAACAAAACAGGTATGGGGCGACCCGCCTACAGCGAAGTGAATGTTCGACTAAGTAATGATTAGGTCTAAACTCGAGTATAGTTGCTAAACATCTTTGTTTTTAACAAAATAATTCAAAAATTCAAAACGTCTTTTAATGTCAGATGAGTTGAGTTGAGTTGAGTCAAGAATTGACATCACAGCAGTCGGTACATTCGAACGCGTGCTCTGTCCTCATCTTTAGCAGCCAGCGCAGAGTTATAATACTGATGGAACCGGTCACAATAAGGTTATATGTCCATCTTGGCTTTCCTCTCAGTGTAGTGAGCCGGCCAGACCCAGGTGTCTCATTCTCTCCAGGCCAAAATAATTTTGTTTTTCTACTGATTCCGTTGCTTGTTCCCAAAGGGTCTTGGCCACATCTGCCTTGTCGTGTATCAATTCATTACCCAGTGGTGCAGCTCCAGCCAATCTGTCTGCTTGATCATTACCCACCACGACAACATTGCCTGGAGAAAGGATCTAAATTATGCTCACAACCCGTGACCTTCCAAGCTTTCCACTCTGCTAGAATCTCAGATTTGTAAATGTTATAAAATGGCAATATTTTCCAGTTTTGGACAAATGAGACTGAGCTCCGTATCACAGCAGTCGGTACTACCTGTTCTTTATTAACGACGAATATTTAGCGGCGTATAACAAGTCTGACATCCTACATGACGCCAACAGCTATAGACGAAGGAGCGCATTGGGAAGGAAACTAGCCTTTTCACAGGAAGAGGAACTGCAAGCTGCAAAATTAGTGTTGTGGAAGGGCAAAACTTGCACGATAGAAAGGCAGACCTGGCACAAATCTAAGTTAGCAGCTGGTCAAGGTCGGAAGTTCCGACTGGCGGGCAGACAGAGACTACTGCTCTTCTCATCCTTCAGCTACTTCAGCATGCTTTATTCCAAAAGCTTTTGAGTTATCTTACCTTTGTAGAAACGAATGGAGGCCAGTGAGGGATCTTGATGCATGAGCAACATATGTCTCTACAGTACTGCCTAGGTTTTGAGTCGTGATCAGGAGAAACTCATCCCTGACCTATATGGTTCATTGAACAGATTGAGAGGGAGAAGCTATGGGTTATAGGTTCCTATTACTTAGGGTAGACTAGGACTTTTTTCGGGGGGTGGGGAGGGGGGTAGGGGGAGGCGGTCCGCGGGAAAAATTTTTAATTACCAAATTACCAACCTCGTCGCGAACCAAAAAAAAAAAACAAATTTATTGTCAACATAAAATACGTACTTCATTACAATAAAATGTGTGTGTGTGTGTGTGTGTGTGTGTGTGTAAATCTCAGATTAAAATCCCTTGCTATGCATCTGGCCAACCACACTCACCCACTGAAGCCCTACTATGTATTTATAAATGCTTCTGTTCAAGCGGGCTATTTGCAGAAATTATATAAGTGGGGGAAAAGGGAAAGAGGGAGAGTGGACCGGGGGGGGGGGTGGGTGAGTGGGGGGAGCCATTGAAGCGTGGAGGAATAGACAACTAGCGATGAGACAGTTAAAAGTAGAATATGAGTTAGACAGACAGATATAATAAATAAATTATAAATATGTAACTTACAGGTTAAACGAGATTATGGCAACTGAACACACTGCATAATTCTATCCAAATCTGACTAACTGCAAGGCGGGCAAATGTTGATATTCGTATTTTTATTTCTGTCTCCGTATGAGCGTATAGTTTTGTGTTCAGCTATTTCGTGACCTGAAGATTCAGATAATATAGTAATTGTACCAAAGGCTCGCTTGCCTGTGAGAATTGCTCGGTTAGCCAGCCTTGGCTTCACTTTTTCCATCCCTGGTGTAGAGGAAGGCGCCACGGGCTGCCTCTGAAGGTGGTATCAAGTGGAAAGACAGAAAGACAAGACCACAGTCAAGGATGTATTTGAAAGAGTAGATGCTACAACCGTTCTCTCAAGGCTAGTCTTCAAAGGCACTCATGGCTGTGTGACACTTGGAGGTTTGAGGAGGATTAATTGTTGTCCATAAGGCCATCTTCTATTGTCAATTATAGATACGTCGAAGATATTAAGGCTGGCTCTGCCTCTGCTAACTGCAAACTGGACATAAATGATACAGGTAATGAAGTAGCTTTACTGTAATAAACAGCCATTGACCGTATTACATTGAAAATGAGGCGGGGCGAGGGGAGAGGGAGACGGTGGGGGGGGGGGGGGCAGATCAGGAAGGTAATTGAAATAAAGGAGAAAATCATTGAAAAAAAAAAAAAAAGCCTAATGCTGAGCGCCTGGTAAATATGTTGAATACACATTACGGCAACCGTGGTCCTAAAATCCCACGTTCAACTTTAAAAGACGCTGCTGAACGCCAGCGGGTCTTGCTAATCACAGTCGACATCGCCATGGGCGGCGATTCCCACACCTTTATTTATAAAGGGGAGGGAACAAGCTGGAAAATCATAAATTATGCAAGTTTTTGCCAATGGTTAAAGACATCTAAATATGGTCAGATCTTTATCAAATTTTGTAAGGACCTTCCTTATCTATCATACAAACAATAAATCATAGAGAAATAAAGTTATATATGTTTATTTCATACTTATTTCCATTTGATGAAGGTATCTATTTCGGTGATGGGTAAATTTGTTGCAGTAGCAATGTCAGTCCTGATTAAAAACTGTTCAATGTATGCAGCTGAAAGTTTGTGTAGCTGCTCAGATATAGTTAAGCTTTAATCTGAAGCTCTGTCATCTCTGTATCTGTGTTAGGTTTTCTTATATTGATATCCAAAATTTTTCAAAAATTTCATAAAATCATAACTGAAGTTAAAAGATGACCACAAGTGAGGGGCCCTTAAAAATGGCACATTTCAAACAGAATCTACTGAAGAGCATGTCCTCCAAATTGTATGTAATTTAGCCCAATAGTTTTGAAATTATCCTGACATCAGTAACGCACATGTGCGAAAACATGATACTGAGAAAACGGCCTTTAAAGTTTTAACATATTTAAAATGTCAGTCAGTCCACCAAATCTGGCACATAAGCTATTTATATAATTTGTGTGATGTCCCAAGATGTGAACTATGAAGTAAAATTAACCTGGATTACTCATGGGCACCAGCAAGGTAATAATCCTCTTTGTCTTTGTCATGCATGACAGCCAGTATTCTCCGCGCTTGCCGTACACTCGGTGATAATTTTGTAGCTGCTGAGTTTATTCTTGTTCTATCCAGCTCACCGAAACAAAGTCTGGTATAGAGTCCACTAGGCATCCCTAGATTCTCAAATATAGGTATCCTACCCCTCTCACCATCATAAAAAAACCACAGTGGCATCATAAACTGCAAGAGTTAGTCTGGGCCTTCCAACAAAACCAGTCTTTGGGCATCTCTGCCAAATGGAATTATGAAAACTCTCATTTGTATTTTGTGTCCCTCCATGAGCACACTTTGACAGTAAGGTCTCACTGGTAAGTGTTTCAAAGACAGGTCTGATGGCCTCACACACATAGGGAGGGAAAGCATTTCTGTCAGGATCTGCTGCAGGCTGATTTTTGGAAGGGCACCAATCTCCACAGTTGATATGGTCACGGTTTCTGTGCTGCCATATGGCCCAGATTTCTCTTCGCATCTGAGGCACATTGTTGGTGTTTCTTCGAATAGCAGCACCGTAGTGTCCTTGAATCTTTAGAATTGCCTTTTTCGTCAAACAACCCTTCCCACCAATTCCTCGAACACTCTTGCCATTGTGCATAAACGTCTGCTTCTTCAGTTCATTGACTTTATTTGTAAGATGTCGCCCCATTCTCTTCTGCACATGCCCACAACATTCTAGTTTGTAATACCCACATCAGTATACACAGGTGGTTCTGCATTTGCAACTGATTTGTATGATTTACTGTCTCCATCTCCAAGAAAAGAAACATAGTGCAGACCATACAGCTGCTCACTTCGCCTGAACATTTCTAGTGCTCAAGTGGGCTCCATGCTACCTGCAGATCCACTGTGATTTTTATCACAATTCTGAGCATGAGAAAGCTTCCATGCCTGGAACTCAGCCTCAGTTTTAGTCTTCTTATGTTTTGCACAAGGGTTGCAATAATTACTGAGAACTGCAGTGTCAAGAACTTTTGAGTTAGGCCCATCCACAGTGAGAAGAGTGACCACACCATTTTTGCTCTGGAAGCCCCTTCTCTGCCATGTACCATCACAGGAGACTGTTATGGCTTCTCCTTTCTTTTCCTTGAGCTCAGCTGCAACTCTCTGCATACTTGTGCGTGCAACAGTCTCTGTAGCATGAAGAATTTTCTTCTTGTGAAGAGACCAACTGCTCTTATGCATACTTGTTGGCATGTTCATATTGCCAAGAAATTTCTTGCCATGCATATAGTTCCTTCCTATAGCAAAGAGAGCAAGTGTGTACCTTCTGTTGACTTCGTAAGTCTTCCCACATTTTGCAGAGGACATAAATGAAACTTCATGTTGACACTGACAATGGAAAGTGAACTTCGAGGCAAGCGAGCTTCTATCTTCAGTTACACTAGACTTATTCTCGCCTAGAGGTTGTCTACACTGACTGCACAATAAAGTATTAACAAAAGTTAATTAGAAGCTGAACGTCAACAAATCGGAAACCAGTGAGCCCCTCTGCTTTATCAAAATCAGTCTGCGACGTTTGATGTCCTAGTTTAATTTTAGAAGCAGACGTAGATGGTCGGTTTATATCAAACCACTAAACGTCATCACTTCCAGCTTCTTGTTCCTGTTTCTCGGAGAACTGATTCCCATGAAATTTACGTTTTCCTGGTCTATCGCCTCTATTAACCTTTCTTTTACCCATGATTACACTGTTTGTTGTCTAAACCTTTACTAAACGTGTCTTCAGCGCATAACAACTAACGGCGTCACTAGCGTCTGCTAGTGACGTAGGTTTTTGTATGAGACGAGTGCCTGATTGGCTGAACAAAGCATTTCCTCAATAAACGGACCAATGAAAATTTGCTTTTAGGCTGTAAACCATACAAATTGATTGTATAGGCCTTGTAAAACGGAACAATATACAACTTAAATGAAGTCTCTAAGTCAACTACAAGTGGGAGAAAACAATTTTTTAAAGTCTTTTGCATATGTAATGAGCTTTTAAAACTCCGATATAAATAAGTTATACATGCTTCAGCAAATGCAGAAATACAGCTTTAAAACATACTCCTTTTTAAACCCCGTTTGCACAGCTGTTTTCTACTATGGATAATCGTATCGTGAATTATGTACGGAAACCCAAAATGGTCAAATTTTACGATTTCAACTTAGTCCCTCCTATTATCTTATGAAAAGACGGAAAGGGGCCAACAACAAGCAGTCGGAAGTATTTTTCAACTGTCAGTAAAAAAATCAGTTTGCAAAATCAACAGTCAAATAAATGAATCAAGAATTGACCGGTGCACTCAGGACATTCCTATACGTGCTCCGTCTCATTCCCCAATAGCCAGCGGAGCTCCTATCCTAATAATTGCTGTCAGTTGGAACCTGATAAAAAATTAGTCTGTTTTTACCTTGCAGATAAAACATCGTACAAACCCTCTGCTTACATCCAACTCAAGGGTTTTCTCAAGGGTTATCTCTGTGCGTTTGTTGAACTGCTTACATGATCCCAGGAGTTTTCACCGTGCTCTCTTTATCACAAAGTAGTTCACAGCCTAAAGTGTTGTAAAGTTTTATAGAAATAAACAAAAACATCAGCACGAAGGTGGCACATACAAATAAAATAACAGCAACAACACAACAATGAAAGAAACTACAGAATTGCTGAACACGTCTTTTATTTGCTTACGATTTTCATGCTAACCACACAAATAATGCTAAATCTAAGGTATGTACACATATCAGCCATGGAAACAAATCGTTTGAAATGATGACTAAATAGCACCACCCGAATACTAGCCGCGTTACTTAATTCGTAAACTAATGCAATTGTGGTAAATGGCAGCACAATTACTGCAGTTATATATGTATTTGCCACTTTTGCGGAGTGAGGGAAAAACGGTGGATCCAGTGGGGAGGCGTTTTTGAGCCTGAAGTTTTAAGGCCGCCTGGCTATGGCCGTTTTTCCACAGTCTGTGTAGGTTGGTGGCATTTTATTTTTGCAACCCACAGGGGACAATATCCCCAACCTTACCTAGGATTCAAACTCATTTCTCTCGCATACGAGTCGGCATTTTTAGCTGTTCTCAGCATAATACCAACCTTTATTTCACTTGCGAAAACATTCAGACTGCGTGGGTGGGACCCCCCCCCCCCCCACCTTTTCGGGTTCCTACCCCAATGTTTGACATCTGAGTTAACAAAACTCAATATGAAAATTAGCCCAACATGGAAAATCTCAAATATCCCGTTTGCCAACATGAAAAGTTATAATTATGGCACCGGCAGCAGTTACACCAGCCTGATGTAGCCGGCAGTCGATACGTAGAAGATGTTACGGTCGGCGTCTGGTAACAGCTGTGCAAGTGGGGCATGAATGATACAGGGAATGAAGTTGCTTCACTGAAAATGGGGGTGGCGGCGTGGTGATCAGGAATGGAATTGAAATAAAGGAGAAAATTATTACAAGAAAATTATTACAAGAAGGTCTAATAGTGAGCATCTGAAAAATACATAGATGGAAAAGTAAAAAAAAAAAAAAATAAAGATTTCCTTTCGAACCTTCAGGCGCATCGGGGATATGGGAAGAGCACATACATTTGTACAGACCTATCGTGGGTAATGTGGACACCATTACGCCGGCCGTCTTTACTTCCTCAGGACATACATTCTGTTACCCATTTTAGACTGTGTCGACTTGCGACACCCATACCATGGTACAAAAGCCAGCAGTGGGTTTCGATCGCGGTACGTTGGAATTACGAGCCGGACTCGCAACACATAAGTCACGGACGCAGCTATACGTAGATGGAGCAGGGAGGTAAACCAAATTCCTTTTATCTTCTGACTTGTAGACCATTGAGTTGGTCGCCGATATTTGTTCTCAGTCTCCTGGATCGCCTGATTAATTTCAAAACATATGTTTCTCAATGCCAAGACGTTGACTCGTACAGGTCCCAAACAACGTACTATTCGTAGTTGGATATTATGCATTAGTACAAATTAACGTGTTGCGCTTTCACATTTGACGTGTAGTCATCGATTAGAAATAGCTTTGATGCCTGTTTCATTATTAAAAGAGCGTGTCTGTATTTGGCCTAGGAAGCCGGAATCCAGATATTTAAGCACCATAAGTCTCTAACTCAGTCATTTATTTATATTAGGCACTTAAACAAGGTTTGTGTTTCTTGATTCCCACTCCACATAAATTTGTACAGGGACTGAGGAAGTCCACATTTTCTTTGTGTCGGCGCCCCCGATTTAACCCGTGTGGAAGAAGAAGCCCTATGTGGTTGTTGTTATTCTCATTGCCACCACAATCAAATTACGTTTGGTTTCTGGAGACGAAAAAGTAAAACTGTCGAACATTGCTTCTAGCACTTTCTTTGTCTCTGGAGCTCAGATGTGGAGTCGACGTCGACAGGCTGTCAAAAATGGCCTATACATATAATCGGAAACTATTTGAATATTACCTCATAACAGAATACATGCCCCCTAAAAGGTCCGACAATTAAGTAATGTGACTCATTTTATTATGACCAAGGCAAAATTGTAATATATAAGGCAAGTCATGGAATCTAAAGACACAACATTCATTTATGATCTGGCAACTTTTCATCACCGCTCGATAAGCAGACAACAAACAAGCCGTCATTCTGTTGACCTAGTCAGAGATGCACTGTTACGTAATCAGCACTGAGCAAAAACCTAACATTAAATTCTTTTTAAAACCCAGAAAAAGTGCCTTTGAAACAGTTCAATTATTTCAACAAGATATAGGGATAATTGTTTATCTCGTGCATAAATTATCAGGTGGTATTCACATTCGAAAGTGGTGTAGAAATGATTACTTATACACCTAGACCTGGACGCCAAATTTCTCTTAGTAATGATAAACTCATTGCAAAATCACAGAACGGATAAAAAGAAGATCATTGTTTTACTGTTAAGACTATGGCAGATGAATCTGGTGGTAATAGGTTGCTTGCCGGTTCGTGCAACATTCGTTGTTTGATGATCAAAAAACAGCGGGTTGAGTACCCAAGAGACACCATCAAAACAATAATTTTTGGCCCCAAAACAAGTGTGTGTTTTCAGCCTTCCACCCTATTTCCCAGATTTGTCTCCCTGTGATTATTTTATATTCCTAAATTTAAAGTTTAGATTGAAAGGACTCTTTTTTAACGATTTTGATGACACCCAAAGGACCGTAACATCGACTTTAAGGGTCAAAGCAACTGACGAACTACAGAGGTCGTTCCAGTGTTTATTAGATCGTGCCACTTCCTGTATTCATGCACAAGGGGCTTACTTTGAATAAAATACAGGTTATATCGTCAACTGTTGGTTATTTTAATGTGTATGCAATTAGTCTCATTACTTAATTATCGGACCTTCTATTATAATAAGCCTATTGCACATATTCCTTACGTCCTTTTTAGGACGTTATTTTTTGTTATTTGAAGCCCCACTCTGGCTTTTGCCAGGGGCCGCAATATAGGCAGGTCATCATTATGGCAAATGTCGAACGCGGTTTCTGGGACCTCTCCACGGGTGATCCTCATCCGCATGGTGGCACTTTGTGTCATCGGGTGTTTATCGCTTGTGTGATGTCCTGTGGGGTAAAAAAGCCAAGCCAAGCCTATTGCATGTTTCCATTAAATGTGTTAGTGAGATTGTCAGGAATGGGGCATATATGGACAGGAGAAACATCATCAATGCCATACGAGAGACTAAACGCTTTGAGGCTTTCAGTGTCGTGGAAAATGATTTTTCACTGAATAGACTGCAATACCACTGGTTTACCAGTTCGAGCTGCTTGTACAAGAAATATAATACAGAAGAAAAAAAAAAAACTGTAAACTATACACATCAAACATGTTTATCTCATAATCTATACTTTTTCTGGAGTAGGTGGATCTAAAACGTATAGAAATGTATTTACAAAAACAGTTATGTTTATCAAAGCTGCTGTAATAGATATCAGCATGGGATAAAACATTCAAAGGTATACATACTCAGACAAAAGAAAGATTACGAGAGAAATAAACATTTAAATAAACTATAAATTATTTCACTTGCTGAACATATTCTGTATGTTCATTATTCTTCTGTTTTGATTCTTTTTCAAAGCGCACACGTTGTATCATGTAATGCACCTGAGAGTTCAGTGTTAGGCTTCAAATAAACTCTCCCCCTACCATCACTCCCACTCTCTCACCCTCCCAATATATATATATATATATATATATATATATATATATATATATATATATATATATATATGTATTTCCTCATTGATATTTCTCTCTAACCTTTCTCTCTCTCTCTCTATGTGTATGTGTATATATATTCACTTTCTCCTCCCTCACTCTTCCTCACCCCTCTCTCTTCCCCCCTCTCTCTCTCTCTCTCTCTACACACACACACACACACACACACACACATATATATATGTATATATATATATATATCACACATATATATATATATATATATATATATATATATATATATTTATATATATAAGATGGAATCACACTGTCTCAAAAATTGACGAACTGCTACTTGGCCCATTCTTAAGGACAACAAATGTTTCAAGTCGTAAAAGGGGCCAGCGAGATGTTGACTAAATCACCCGTCAAGGTAATGACTAAATCGTACATCGAAATTTTGACCAAATCACTCATCGAGATATTTACTGAATCACTTATCAAGATATTGATCAAATCACCCATCAAGTGCTCATTCGTGATAAAAACATATCAGTGTGGATCCATATATCCACCTACAGGAATAAAAAATGCCCCCAGCTCACTTTATACATCTTCACGCATAAAATAGAAACACAGTTTTTTAAACCTTATCACACAAACACACAGACACACACACATACACACACACATGCATATATATATATATATATATATATATATATATATATATATATATATATATATATATATATATTTGATAAATCACATAAAGATACTACTATTCATAATATTATGTAGATTATTTCACTATAATAAACAACATGGAGATGTTGAGAAAATATTTAAAGAAGCCTCACTGATCTATATACTGACAATTGACACACTTTTAACTTAACATTATATGCATTTTCAAAATCATAATGAATAATACGATATATGAGAATTTCACTGATGTGGAATACATGATTTTATATTTCCTCTAATAACATTTAACTGTTTGCTTATGAAGAAACCGAAATAGAAATTGTAGTCTTTTCATGTTACTTAATGATTCTGAGCTCCAGTGGTAACGTTTCCAGGACACTGGCAAGCTAGTCCAGTAGTCAATGTTGCGTTTCTCATCTGAGACGTTGTTTCTTGAACTGACATGATCTTCCAGATCGACCCAGCCTAAAATGGCTGTTAGGAAAGGCCCTGTGAAGTAAAACTATTATCTATACGTCTCTCCTAAGTGCTGATTTGCTTTTACAGCAATGGGCTAGTAGATATTGTCCAAAACATCTGAGGCATAGGTCTAGATGGTATTCTAGCAGAAGTTTTTTAGGTCTATATAAACACATTCAGCTGGTTTCCTACCCGGAGGACGAAGAAATATCAGCTGACTGAGGTGCTTTATTTATATTCCATCTCAAACAGGGGAAACCTCCAGGTCACGGGACAGTCTAATATTGGGGGGGGGGGGGTGGGGGTTGTTGGTAGGCTGCATGCAGTCGTGGGACCTAAGCTGCATGCATTCGTGAGACCTAGGCTGCACTCTCTCGTGGGAAGTTGGTGGGTTGGGGTTAGGGCCAGTTCTAGATGTTCTATGGTCGTTAAAAGCATCAGAAAGCCGGGAAACCCAGTCTTACCACCCTCTAAAATGTTGGATTGTCCTGTGACGTCATCTTTGGTGAAATATTAATAAATAACCCAGACTGGAGACAATGATATCCGGCGAATCTGCCCCAACAGGTAATCTGCGGGATTGAAAAACTATAGAAAGATTATGTTGATGTCAATTCCTAGAAAAAAATATTAAGTAGGATTATTTTGGAAAGATAAAATGTGCTATTTATAAAAAGCTAAGAGATGAACAGGGAGGTTTTAGGCAAAACAGATCCTGTACTGATCCGAAAGCCAAATTATTAGAGCAAAGAATTGAGCTGAATTCATCACTCTACATTGGATTCACAGACTATGAAAGAAAAGGCTTTTGACAGCACTGATAGGGATCTCCGTGGAAACTGACGGGGCACAATAGGGATCCTAAAATATTAACTTAGTAAAAGCAACAAACAAAAACACAAAATGTCGAGTTCTTTATGAAGGAAAGCTAAGATATACATTTGGAATGTGAGCAGGCGAGCCACAGGAGCATCTTTTCTCGCCTCTCCTATTTCTACTGGTGATAGAATGGATTATAAAGACAACAACTGCTAACAGAAAGAAAAAAAATTTAATTCAGTAGACCCCTACAAAACAGTTTGATGACCTGGATTTCGCTGATGATATTTCTCTTCTGCCCCACTCACAGAAACAGATGCAAGATAAAATATATACACTTAACGAGAGACCACAACAGCTAATTCTGAAAATCCATATAGGAAAGACAAAGGGAATGGGAAAGAATAACTCAGACAAATAGTAATGTGGTTTCTCTTAATTGGATCCCACACCAAGAAGTGGAGTCGTACACCTATTTGGGCAGTAAGTTAGATAAAGATTAGGGAACTAATAGAGATTTTACAATACGAATACAAAGAGCAATGAAAGCTTTCTTAGCACTGGAAATTCTGTAAAGGTCCACAGCTAAACCGGATTATCAATACCATTAGATCAACACATTCGATTTCATTAATCATGCAATTACTGACATTTAAATCATGCTTGATGAGAGGCAATAGGCCTATCTCCTAGAATGTCTTTGCACTGGGAATCCACACACCCCACACCCCCACCCCTAGTAGAGCCTGGTAACTCACACTGGGAAAGGAGAGAGAGAATCCATTGTATAGTTAAGATCGAATTGTTTTTTTAATTATGTAATGACGGCAAATGATTCAGCTCTAATCTTTCTTTCTGCGTTCTTCTGAAAAGGGTAGTTAACCTGCCATGTGGTCCACAGCTAAACCGCATTATCAATACCATTAGATCAACACATTCGATTTCATTAAACATGCAATTACTGACATTTAAATCATGCTTGATGAGAGGCAATAGGCCTATCTCCACCCTCTCCCACCCCACACCCCCACCCCTAGTAGAGCCTGGTAACTCACACTGGGAAAGGATCCAATATACACGGAATCAGAAATGAGCTAATAAAGATGGGCGCTATGTATGAGATTTAATATAATCTTTAAGCAACCAACAAGCTTCTTGTTGTTCAGCTGACTCATTAAGACAAATATCTAATTTATCATATTGAGTCAGAAACATGACTACATAGTTAATTAAATCGGACACCTCAGCTCATTTGATAAGGGGCAATAGGTCTTGACATCCACCATCCCCCACCCATTTTCCACCAAAACAAAAATGGAGCCCAGAAACCCACACGAGGACATGATCCCTCCAGTGAATGTAAAAATTCAGACGCATTGAATCATTAATGAATTATAGAAGATTTATTAATTCTCTAATATGTACTCTAAAAAACTATAAGACTTATTGTCCTTCCACTGACAGCACATACGTACACTCATACTCTGCATTGCCTCATTAAGATAAGCCACAACGAGGACTTGCAACAGTGTACTGTAAGTGGTGAGTCAGAAATATGGCTACATGTTTAATTGCCCATGTTTAATTACATTTAGTCTTTGCTCTTCAGCCTAGGAAAGGAAAATAGGGTAGCGGCCAAAGCTCTTCCTGTCTGGCGGTTCGTTGCCACCTGTTTTAGGTCTTGGATGTTTATTAGGCCCGAGGTTGAGCCAAGACCGGCTCCAGCTGACGGGCCATGCTGCTGACGTCACCAAACCAGCTAACGCAGCGTTTCTCAAACTTTTTTCGTTAGGCAAACAATTAATTTTGCAGCACACTTACTCTTAAAGCGGTTTGAATAATTAGGTAGGGGGGGGGGGGGCAGTTGGTCTGATTTTCTATGCAGGGTGTATCTCGGTCTTCAACGTTTACGACATTTTACCGCAACGAAAATTGGGCTGTGGGAATGGTGATTGCTCAGTTTAAAATATCAATTATTACAGCAATACTGAGTCATCTCATTGCCATAATCTGCATGCCATTTACATCACATTCCGTGCTAGATGCGGTGGGCGATGCGGTCAGTATCACCACAGCCGCCTTTACTTTCCATGAATTTACCTAGTACCGAGTCACAGCTAGGTGTACTTAGTAACCAAGATCATTAAAAAAAATCCGGTACAGTTGTGATTTGAACCCACGACCATTTGATCCGAAGGCGTGGAGCTAACCACTGACCACGACAGCTCCCTTGTCATGCAAAATAGCGTTTCTTAATTAATTAAGACTAACCCACCCGTATTAGTGTCGCAGGTGTGCCCCATACGCCATACATGTAAAAAGCCCTATTGAAGATCTTACCGATATTCTTGAAACGCCAAATGGTCAATACTGATGTAGAGTAACTGATAGCTTTGAGAACTGTAACCAAATTTCTGACTCGCCAAATGTATTCAAGAAAATAGCTCTAAATTTATTACTCTCTACAACTGAAAAAGCCAATAAATAAACTACTGAATTAATCCAGGTTTAGAGTCACTGTCAGAATCCCCATCCCCAGTCGTTATCAAATCTTCACTGGAAAACTTCAGAGCTGGGTTGACTTTGCCTCCGTTTTCTTTTCCATAAAGACCGAATTTTGTTTTTTCGTCTAAACTCTCTCTGGAAGCCAAGATCATCTGTTCGTCTGGAATGTTTACAATGCACATGAAGACATCAAAACGGCGAGGAAGCTTTCCGGTCATGAACAAGTGGTGCGTCAGGTATGACACGGAGACAAGGGAGAACAAGGTCACCATCATTGATAAGGTTTTGTATGGGAACACCTGTACACCAGTGGCTTCCTCGTACCCCGGGTACTTAAGCACTGCTGGAATATTGAGCGCGGGTTCCCCTCCGCTGATGCGAAAGAAGAGGCCGAACACGTAGCCGGCCAAAGATCCGTATGTGTTGGATTTCTTGATATAAATGACGGCAATGAGCTGCGGGAAGAGTATAACGTAGACCAGGTCAGCACAGAGGGTCCAGAGCACGTAGATGGATTCCACACACAGGGCCATAGCTAGTGCCATGGCAGAGACACCAAATATGGCAGCACGCATTACCCAGATGACTTCTCTTTCTGATGCCTGGAGAACACGAAGCAAAAATCAAAACATGTTAGTCAAAGTTTATCATCTAATGTAGGCAATAGAAATTATGGAATATCAATGTACATTAAATGTACTAACAAGAATTGATCATCTGAATGGTCAGCACCTAGTTCCCTATACTATCCAGGATTTTTTGCAGTGGAGAGTGTTATATAATTAATTTGAGCAGTGCATATAATTATATGCTATGTCAGTGTTTCGTAAACTTTTCTCAGTCGCGGCGCCTTTTTTCAATTAAACATTTTTCCACGGCGCACTTACCTAAGTAAAAGTATCACTATTCCTTTGTAAGAGATAAAAAAAAAAAAAAAAATTTAAACGTGTATCTTCGAATATTTTGCAGCGCCTCTGCGAAGAGGTCGCGGCTCCCCGCTGCGCCGCAGCGCACAGTTTGGGAATCACTGTGCTATAGAAAGATATTCAGAATACCATAGACAATGAATTGAATAAACTGCAATTTTAAAAGATCTGAACATCAAGGACAATTGGGTAGAAAACAGCATCCTGTCTCGGAAGCTGAAACATTTCGGTAATATCAAGCACCATAGCGGCTTGCACAAAAATAATTGTAGAAGGCAGGGTTCAGGAAGGGGGGAGTCGCCGTCGCGTTAGCGGCTAAATGCCTGCCTGCGGATCGGAAGGTCGTGGATTCGCGTCCTGCCGAATTTTTTTTAATTTTCAAAAATGACCTTGACTTCCAGGTCGACCCAGCCTTGAATGGGTACCAGAAGCAGTCACGGGAAGTAAAAGCAGCCAGTGTGATGCTGACTAAAAAGTGCGATTAATCTATAAAATATAGGTCCAACCCAATATCCCCAGTACGCCTAAAAGCGTGGGAAAAGGACATTTTATTGTACCTGAGTGTGCTTCAACATGCTTAACTCCCATGCCAAACATCATCGTGTTAGCGTCATAGATATGCAGCTGGTCATTAATCAAGTCGTTACTGGGCCGGCGTCCGTGACTTAGGTGTTGCAAACTCGCTTCCTAATGCCAGGATACCGAGTTCGATCCCAGCTGCTGACGGTTTGCCTTGCCTTGCTTTCGACAGTAGTACTGAGAGCTGACCCGTTCAATGGCAATGGCAAACTAACGAACGTAAAATTTGACACAAAAAAACCGACAACAGCCAAAAAATTCTTGGGTTGGCTCTACATAGACCTGTACAGGATACTACACTGACTTTTTAACTGCGAGGATGATATCTTATCTGTCTATGCTTCTTCCAACATACGTTGTGCATTGCTTGCCAGCTATTGCGCTGGTTCCTTACATTTCAAATTGGCATAGTCAAGTGTATAAATCCAGATGGTGGAGGCTAAGTGCGAATACTTTCTACCCACTCAAAGATCCTATGACATGATAGCTACAGTTGATCTTTAAATGAAAACGACATCCGCTTTGAAATATTAATAAACAGATAAATAAACAAAGGCAAAGAAGGCGGACTGAGGGAAGAGAGGTAGACATTTGGCGGAACCAATGTGGAAATGTAGGTAGGTAAGTGGGTAGTGAGACATTAGGAAAATAAATAAATAAATCGATGGATCTAAATAATGCTGACATAAACAATATATTGCGCGTCGAGAAAGGTGAGTAATTAGCATCCTTTGTATATTCTCTTCAGGTCATGCCGGTGGGTTAGGAAATGAGCAGGCAGATAGACTGGCCATTTCTGCATCACTATGTGGTGACCTGATGTATGACAAGCTAGATGTTGTGAGGGCCTCTATGAGCAAGTGAACAGTGGGGAAGCGCAAGTGGATCATTACGGTCTGAGGAGAATGACACTGCGAGGAGTTACCAGGGGTTCTGGCCGACGCTCAACACTCACGGGAAAGGCGAGACGGGTATACAACCAGACAGTTACTGGTGCCATCGGAATCAGAACTCTTCGTTTGCTACTGATGATAGGAACGAAGTGCTTATGGGAGTGTTTGCATAATTTATTGCTGGTATATTTCTTTGTATTTTGTTAGGTACATTGCGACGGAGTTAAATCAACATATTATATAATGGGTAAACTCTGTATTGCGCGTGATGTAAAGGACACAAAGAAGAAGAGTGAGGTTCTAACCCACCAGGACTGCACGACGAGCGATAAAAACACGGCAACACAAAGTGTCACCAATTGGATGGGAATCACCCTGGAATGAGTCCTAGAAACCCCGTTCACCCGTTAGGTAATATTAAGGCCCCCGAAGATAGCCAGAGTTGGGCTTTAAAATAACACTAAAATTGCGTCCCATATTGGGATTTGTTTATAAGGGAGACACAAAGAAGACGGATCAATGGTTGTTTATAAGGAACAGAGTGAGACCTAAAACAGACACTTACGGCATGTCTGAAGAGGGATCTGTATATGTTCCGAGCAAACATGGAGGCAGCAGACAAAATGGAGGAATCTGCCGAGGACATCACAGCGGCTGACAGAGCTCCAAGTCCCATGAAGGTGATGTACGGAGGACAGAGGTACTGGAGGGTCATCGGCAGAATCATTGGCAGATCCTCGCTTGGTATTGGGACAGGGCCGGGCCAGGCAGTACGGTTCCAGTCTGAAACGAGTTTTAAAAACAATTAATCTTAAATTACATAGGACTGTTAGTATAGGAATCATCATCATCATCTACGTCATCGTTGTCGTGGTAGTCTTCATCATCAGGATTATTCTGATCATCATCTTCATCATCATCATCGATGACGTCATTATCTTCGATGTCATCAGAATTAACGTCATTGTCATCATTATCGTCACCATCACCACGACCATCATCATCATCATCGATATCAGCAGACTTATCATCATCATCATGTTTGTCATCATCTTTATCATCATCATCAGTATCATCATTGTTTTAATTATCATCCCCGTCATTATAAACATCATAATCATCGTTGTAATCACCATCATTGTCATCATCATTGTCGTAGTTGTCATAATCCTCATCTTGATCATTATAGTAATCTTTATCGTCATTAACATCATCACCATCATCATCGTCTTCATCTTCATGATTTTCCTGATCAACATCATCATCAGCATCGTTGCCGACGACATCATCATCGATGTCAGCATTATCATCATCGTCATCGTTGTCATCATTATCATCATTATCGTCACCATCATGATTATTATCATCGATATCAGCAGAATTATCATCATCATCGTCATCATTATTATAATTATCATCACCGTAATTATAAACATCATAATCATCGTTATCATCATCATCATCGTCATTGTCATAATCATCATTATGATCAATGTCGTTATCTTTATCATCCCCAACATCATCACTATCATTATTGTCTTCATCATCATGATTCGTCATGATTTTGATCATTATCATCAACATTATGGCTGTGGTCAACTATATCATCATCATCATAATCGTGTAGCTTGCCGATTACCACAGGCAGCCAAGGTTAGCTGTCACACATGAATCACAGCTCACATCTGAGTTCTCTTTCCTTGTAGCAAGGACATGCAAGGATGAATTTTTGTGTGTGGTCGCTACCCTTTACCGATCGTGGTTATATTTGCAGGTCAGAAGTCTTCCTCTTCGTTGCGTTGTGCTCCTGCACATCAAGGGTACGGCAGCTGCGCCTCTCGGCCAACATATCTAACCCATGAACTCTTTGAGTCCACTGGAACGCATCATACGTTCATAGGTTCCTACCTACAAGCCCAATGGACAACGCAAGAAGCGCCGATTTTACCTCTCTCTTGACTACCTCGTGGATCTCTAATGCTGAACCCTCTGTGACTCAAAGAGTTAAGGCTTTTGTTGCCTGGATTATCCTTTCCGACCACACAAAGCTAGATATCCCACGCGAAACGCCAGCGGTGGTGGGGGGATCACTTCGAGTAACGGTTAACAAATCCCTGTGGTTAACTAACAGATTTTTACAAGGGAAGTAACTCTTTATATTTTGATAAACGTCGAGTTATGGTTTTTAGTTATATTTTTATAATTCGAACAGAGTAACAGCAACATCAGAGCATCAGCAGCAGGAGAACAAGCAACAGCTGCAGCAGGAATACAAGCAACAGCAGCAAGAGGAATACAAGCAACAGAGGCAGGAGTAAAGGCAACAGCACTAGTACAAACAACAGCAGCAGCAGGAGTACAAATAACAACAGTAACACGAATAAAAGCAACAGCAGCAGCAGGAGTACATGCATCAATAGTAGTAGGAGTAGAAGCAACAGCCGAAGCTGGGGTACAAAAATCAACAGCAGGAGGAGCAGCAGAGCCTAAGTGTCAGAAACAGCAGAAGAAGTATGAGCAGGAGCTGCAACAGAATGAGCAGCTTCAACCGGTCAAGCAACATCTCGAAAGGCACCAGAAAAAGCAGAAGTAGCAGACTGAAGAGGACAGGCCAGGAAAGCCATTGCCACCTACCTGTGGAAGCAGCAACTGCACCTAGTAGTGCTGCAGGTGTTGCCATGACGACACATCCTATAGCAGCGATGTAGGAGAGTATTTGCGCTTTCAGTGCTGATTTGGATGATAGGACTCTTTGAAAGTACACCTGTGCAAAAACCGAACAACGACATTTCAATTGTGTATACGATTTAACAGTACACATCATAATATAGTAGCTGGAACATCGAACTGAATCTATGGAGATGTGGATACACATACAGATTCATAGGTCGTATTTAATGGAAATAAAACAATCAAATGCAAAGCTTCTGGAAAGACTGAGTGGAAAGAGAACTGTTGAAACAGAGAGAGAGAGAGAGAGAGAGAGAGAGAGAGAGAGAGAGAGAGAGAGAGAGAGAGAGAGAGAGAGAAAGATAGAGAGAGATAGATAGAGAGAGAGACAGACAAACAGACAAAGGAAGAGAGAGAGACAAACAGAGATAGATAAACAGAAAATAGAGTGAGAAGAGAGAAACAGAGAGACAGAGGTCGAGAAAAACAGAAAGAGACAGAAACAGGGAGACAGACAGAGACAGAGATAAACAGAGGGAGACAGAAGGAGTTGGAAAGACAGTAAAAAAACAGAGGGACAGAGAGAAACATAGAGATCACAGAGTGACAAAACAGAGAAAGATAGAAAGAGAAACACCAGAGAGAGAGAGAGAGAGAGAGAGAGAGAGAGAGAGAGAGAGAGAGAGAGAGACAAGGAGTGACAAAAGCAAAGAAACAGAGAAAGACAGAGACTAAGCAAGACAGCGATAAACAGGAAGAGAGTAAGTCTCAGAAAGACAGAGAGAAACAGAGAAAGACAGAAAATGATACAACAGAGAGAGACAGAGAGATACAGAGAGAGACAAAGAGAGACAGAGAGAAACAGAGGGAGAGAGACAAAGACAGCGGGAAAAAAGGGATCAGGAATCAGAAATGTAAGAGACACTGAGAGACAGAGAGACAAAGACTGAGACAGAGAAAGAGGCATAGAGGGAAAGAGAGAGAGACGGAGAGTGAAACAGAGAGAGGCAGAGAGAAACAGGGGGAGACAGAAAGAAGCAGAGAGATACAGGGAGACGAAACAGAGATAGACAGAAAGAGACATAGAGGGAAAGAGAGAGATGGAGAGTGAGACATAGAGAGACAGAAACAAGAGAGAAACAGAGAGAGAGAGAGACAAAGAGACAGTGTTTTATGGCCCTAAACAGGACCCATCTTGTGTCGTTAAACGCATTCAAGTAAATGTTCCCATTCCGCCTACATTTGCACGATTCCTGTGTATACAAACCTGCCATGGAATTCCTCCACACGTCAGCAGTAAGAAATTGTCAATGTAAACTGGCAGGTCGGCAACGGCTATTGGATGAATCCAATTTTCTGTGGCATTGATGGAAATGTCATGGACAGCTTCGTGAGTCATAGCGAAGGGGACACTGATCCACTGGAAAAAAAAATTGCATGCATGAATGAAAGAATGACTGAATAATGAATGAATTATTTAATGAATGAATCAAGAATCCACATCACTGCACACGGAACATTCTCACATATTTTCTGTCTCCTTCGTAAGTGTCTGACCAAATTGACAAACTTTGCTAGCCCCGGTGCTGCCTATGTCATAAAGTAGCTTACCGCCCAGGGGATTGGGAACAGCCAAACCATCATTCTTCTCTGTGCCTTAGACGGATATATAAGCTTAATATAGGAGGCACATTTTACTATTCACAGAAGAATCTCCAATTCGTTTTGAGTGGTTACTGTCGAGCTATTTCCCTTGTTGCTGCTGCACAGCGGTCAAGGAATCCAAGACAATGCAAATCTCATCTGTACCTGTGGTAAGCAAAATGACAATTTCCACGCCAGTGGCACATGGGGCATACAGTGCTAGACCTATATTTTGAATGACCAGCTGGCACTCGATGGATGATGTGACCATCGTCACACCGGCCGCTTTCGCTTCCTATGACTTTACCCGGTGCACATTTTAGGCTGAGTAGACCTGGATGTCTGGTAAAAGTAATATAAAAGACTGCAGGGGTAGTGGACGTATAGGGCTAGACCAATATTTTATAGACCAATTGGCACTCGGTGGATGATGTGCCACCTTTACTTCCCAGAACTGTTCCTGGTACCCATTTAAGACTGAGTTGACTTGGGAGGCAATGTAGTTTTTGAAAAATGACTGTCTTCGTTCCGACTTGAATATATACCCTTTGATCTCTAGATGAGCGTCTCGCTATTACACTAGGACGTCGTCCCTGAAAGCATGTGTCAAAAAAATATCTATAATAATAATAATGATAATAATAATAATAATAATAATAATAATAATATTAATCCGACTTGAGGCGGAAAGTATTAAGTTTAGTTTAGTTTAGACGATGGATCAACATCATGACGCACGGGTAGTAACCCATAAGTGCTCCGTTCTACTTCTGACTCAAGCCTGAGTCTGAAGATTCCCATAGCAGTGCACGAACTATGTAGCATCATCGAGGATCCTGAAATACTTTGGGTAGATTTTTAACTTAAAATTTTGCCCAGGCAGCGCCGTTAGGCTACTCTTTTCGATTTTCAAATGCCTAAGAATTTTTAACGTGCGCAACTATACACACGGGCGTCCCATCTTACTACCCACAGACCAGGAGAAAAAACTAGAAGTCTACGTGAAAAAATCTCAACCTTCACGGGTCGTCAACCTGGGACCTCCAGCACTCGAGGCGAATGCAATGCCCTGGAGACCACTCAGTCACCCTGTGGAGCGTATATAATGTGTTCATGAAAATGAACTTACCAAACCAAAGAAGATACAGAATAGCTGAACTATGTCGGTGTAGGCAACAGAGTAGAGCCCGCCAATGAGCGTGTAGAACAAGGCAACGGCTGCCGAGGCGATGATGGCAGGGCGCGGTTCCAACTCCATGATGACGGACAATGTGGAGCCTGAAATATTGCGTTTTATATGTAATATATTAAAAATGGTGCGACGGAGACATTGTACATTCTGTGATCATGTCAAAGAAAGGAGAAAACTGTTGTACATCGAGACGAAACAAAAAAAAAAAAAAAAAAAAAAGCTGAGAACAACAAAAGAGGCCGCACCCCCCCCCCCCTTCTCTCTCTCTATCTCGTTTTACCCCACCAGTACATCACACAAGCGATAAACACCCAGTGACACAAAGTGAAAACATGCGGACGAGGATCACCCGTGGAGAGGTCCCAGAAAACCATTTCATCCGGAGTACATATCTATGCCCCTGCTATATTCAGGGCAACCGGCAAAAGCCAAGGCGGTGCTTCAAATAACGAAACACTGCATCTAACATGGGGACTACTTATAACAAGAGAGGCAGAGGGAGACTAAGAGAAGGTGGTTGACAGTTTGACATTGTGGCGTGAAAAATCTATTATCTCAAATTTGTTGAGAGTACAGGAGACCAAATGTTGTGGACATACATGCCACAAGGCACGGGGCTGTAAGAGGCAGATTAAAAATGAAAACTCCAAGAAGCAGAGGGAAACTTAAAGTAGGATTCACTAACAACTTAAGACACGACCTTACGACATCACAATCCCAAACATCAGAGAGTGCCCGGACTCAGCCAGATACCTTTGGTTAAAACGAGACGCCTAGCGGCACAGATCAGATACTGGTTCGATCCAGCTGCGGGTGATTTAGAAGCCGAATGACTTCCGTGGTTTTGACAGTGGTACTTAAAGCTGACCGTTCAGTGAGCAATGACAAACTACTGAAATTAGAAAGTTGCCTGAAAAACCCACAACAGCCAAATATGATGTGATTGGTTCTGCAACGTCACGTGAAGGATACCTAACTAACTTACACGCACACACACACACACACTAACGCGCTCAACGTTTAATGTGTCATTACTCGGTACGAATATTAGAATCATTGTTTAACGGTGAGGTTTTACTGCGGCCTATCAACGGTTACAACATAACCTTAGGTCTAAATGGGTAGGGTGGTATTACTACCCAATAAACAACTGAAAACACTTAGAAAGGGAAATAATAAAAAAAAAAAAGTTGCGATGTTTAACAGTCTTTTCATTTACTATGACCGAAAGTATAATTTATTTTGTTTGTTTTGTTTATAGAAACAAAAATGTTATAATACAAAGGTGACGTTGAAAACAGTAATTGAAAGGCGAAGAAAAACTATTACATTTGTAAGATAGTCTATAAACTCTACCCAAATTCAAAAAGTCATTATGAAACATTATTGCCTCCCTTCCATCAATCTCGTGTTGTTATCCAAGTTTCGTCCTTTTTAGGACGAAATTTTTTGTTATTTGAAGTCCCACCCTAGATTTTTCCAGGGGCCGCAATATAGGCAGGCCATAAATATGGCCAACTGTCTGAACGCGGTTTCTGGGACCTCTCCACGGCGATCCTCATTCACATAGTGGCACTTTGTGTCATCAGGTGTTTATCGCTTCTGTTATGTCCTGGTGGGGTAGAAAGTCAGTCAGTCAGTCAACTCGTGTTTAATCAAATACCCCTTCTTGTTTGTCGACTCTGTGGCTAAGTAGATGCGAACGCTTCGTCATGCCGGGGTTCAGGATTCGATCCCAGCTGCATGTCATGCGCCTTGCGTTGGTTTCGACAATGGTATCAGGGGGCCAACCGTCCGGAAAGCAATGGCAAAGTACTGGACGTAAACTTGCCTAGAGGAACCACACAACAGCCAGGGCCTGCTGGGGTTGGTTCTGCAACGTCCTGTAAAGGATACGCAACTAAACTAACCTTCTTGTTTGGGGAGTCCTCATGGTACATTGGCTAGACGCTCGCCTGCGGATCGGAAGGTCGTGGGTTCAGATTTTGACCTAAGCAGATATTTTTCATAAATGACCTTGGCTTCTAGGTCATCATCATCATGTAGCAGGTCTTTCGCAGAACGACGCTCTCATCACAGTCTGCCTGAAAGAAACTCGGTCTCTCTCCAGTTCTCCTGCCTCATGTACTTTCATACTCGAGGATTCACTTATATCCTGTGCCCATCTTCGTGGTGGTCGGCCCCTGCCCCTTCTTCCTGGTACCATGCCTCTTGCTATAGTTTTTTCCAATCCGTTGTGGCGCGTGAAATGACCTAAATATTTCACCTTCAGAGAAAGGATGCTGTCTATTAGCCAGTCTTCCTGGATGTTCAGATCTTTGAAGATGTCAGTATTTCTCATCTTCTTTGTCCAGTATCTTGGCTTCCATGATGAGTTTCTTTGGATAGTATTGTGGTAGTTTCCCGTTGCTTTCTATATCCACATGGCTCTAGACTACATCCTCAGCCTTCATCAACCTTTTCGATTGCTAGAGCAAGTGAGTGCCCTGCTCTGTGATGCTCCTGCTAACACTAGAGGGCACCCCAGAGGTGTCAACTTATCTCGGTTCCCATAGCTGCTTTGGCCACACCGCAGTGTGTTTACCGACCTCTACCACGTGGGTGTGCAGTTGGGGTTTTCACTGAGTCTTGAGACCAGAATGGCATTCCCCAAAACTCTCCAGTACTTTTAGAAGCTTCTTTGTCAACCCAGCTTATATTGGGTACCAGGTGCAATTATGGGAAGTAAAGGCGGTCTGCATGATCCTGTTCACATCACCCATAGAGTGCCTATTTGTCTATAAACTATAGGTCTATCCTCATTTTCCGCTGGAATCTACAGCCTGTGAACGTGAAGAAGAAGAAGAAGAAGAAGAAGAAGAAGAAGAAGAAGAAGAAGAAGAAGAAGAAGAAGAAGAAGAAGAAGAAGAAGAAGAAGAAGAAGAAGAAGAAGAAGAAGAAGAAGGGAAGAAGAAGAAGAAGAAGAAGAAGAAGAAGAAAAAGAAGAAGAAGAAGAAGAAGAAGAAGAAGAAGAAGAAGAAGAAGAAGAAGAAGAAGAAGAAGAAGAAGAAGAAGAAGAAGAAGAAGAAGAAGAAGAAGAAGAAGAAGAAGAAGAAAAAGAAAAAGAAGAAGAAAAAGAAGAAGAAAAAGAAGAAGAAAAAGAAGAAGAAGAAAAAGGCATGCTTCGTGCAGAGTGGCATGCTTCTCTTCGGAGGCACGGGTGAGGAGCATTTTCCGGATCTATTCTCCGGGATATATCGGTCTGTTGGGAAATAAACAGGCGGACAGGCTTGCTGGTGCTGCACAACTTGCTGGAATACTGATGCATGACATGGCAGAAGTGGTTAGGGCCTTGTGGGAGAACGTGTACAGTTTGGAGAAGCAATCTGATCCTCACAGTCTGGTGAGAGTGAAGCAGCGGGCAGAGTTGAGGGCATCCGGCTCAGACGGAGGTGTTATAAGAATGGTATTGACACCACTGGTATTAGATGTCTGCTCTGGCGGCTGAAGATGGGGACGGAGGCTTAAGTGAATGACCTGCGTATTTGATGTTGTTTCTTCAACCAACTTAAATCATTCTCTTATACAATCAATATTGCCTTCATCCAATTATAGCATCCTCACCGTTATGAATTCTCTTATTATAACTTCTACGGAGGTTGAACGAGGTATCTGTGCTTGTCCTCTTGGTGTGCCATCAGCTCTGTGATTCTGAATTCTCAAGATGTCAGAGCAACAGGTCTTGTTGTTCTGCCATCCAGAGTGAGATCTTGTGATCTCAAGGTGTCAAACTGTTCACGTGGCAGTCGGGGGGGGGGGGGGGGGAAATTACATGACAAGCAGACAAACGAATCAAGTATACAGTTCATTAGCCAAGGCCAGTTCCAAATTTAGGTGACCGCATAACCGTTGGGTGTTCTCTAAAGTAACTGTTTTGCACAGCTGATCTCGGTTTCGTGGTTATTTTTGAAGCCCCACTCTGCTAATGTTTGAAAGCGGTTTCTGAAACCTCTCCACGGGTGATCATTATCTGAATGGTGACACTTTGTGTCACTGGGTGTGTATCGCTCAGTGTGATGTCCTGGTGGGGTCGAAAGTCAGTCAGTTTACGGGGATTTTTAGCTGGCTGATTCTTAGACTTAAGGTGTTATTCCTGCAGATTGCAATCCCAGAGAAGAGCAGCTATATTATTTATCTATCAAAGTCACATTTTAAAATTCGATACCTAACATTATGTCAGCGTTGTAGCTTCACATATTTATCAAGACTGTCTTTATTTCAACACTTTGTGCACACTAATATGTAGGATGTGAAAATGGTCACGGGAATGAATGTATAATAACTGCCATTATCCAGACTTTATATCTGGGTATATGTCAACCAGTTCAAACTATTCCAAATTTCAGAGCCTTTTACGTAAACACACAAACGGACACACACACAAATAACTATTTCAGTCTGGCAACTGGACATACGAACAATAAGGAAATGAAAGGCACCATCATGAATGCAAACTCTTGATTGTCGTGAAAAGAAAATAAAAAAAAAAAATAAAAAAATACAAATTTAAAACTAACGACAGGCTCTGTGAAAAGGGGAAAAAATCATATTTGCAAAAGCCTATTACCTAGCGCAGCCAGAACAGCGCCTGTCCAAAATACTTCTCCCAGTAAGGCAGGAAGGAACAGCAAGCCTCCCATTCTCTCGCCGTACTTGTTCTGGAAAGGGTCGAGCATGGTCACGTAACCCTCCGTCCGCATTTTGTTGGCGAAGAAAAGCCCACCTAGATAATGATGCAAACATGTGAGATTATATACTAGGGGAGTCCATACCAAGAAAACGTATTTGAGGCTGGGTCGGGGAGGGCGTGGATGTTTGATGGTGGGGGTGGTAGTGGTGGTGGGCCTTATCCCACTTACATATTTTGTAGAAATATTTCGTGAAAATAAGGGGGTGTGAGTGGCCTAAGCCTTGTTTAGGTGATTAATAATAAACACAATATTTGCTATAATTAATAAATGTTAAATAATTCATTGTATAATCATTTACGGGGGCTTAACGGAAGAATAAGCGTTGCACTATAAAACAATAAATATTTTAACTAGGGCAATGATTGTTAAGCCTCCTTCAAATTAAGCTTCTTGCGATCTCACACAGTGCTCCCAGCTCATCTTCTACTGTTCAAAATGCTCTGATAAATCTCTACCGCCAGTGCCAGCAGTTGCCTAGTCGTAGGTTTTTGAATCTCATCAATGGTCTAATCAATGGTCTGAAATCACTTGCTTGTGTTAATCTTCTTCCGTTTTAGGAGAAGCAGGTATTTGGTTTTTCCTCTTGAGTCTAGGGCGGCGCATAAGGCAGAGGTCATAGCTCTCCATGTCTGGAGGTTCGTTGCTATCTTTTTAGGTCTTGGATATTTATTAGGCCCATGGTTGAGCCCTCCCTGATGGTGGTTCTACGCCGGGTCTCACTTGGCCTTTCCCGTTTTCCTTTGCCTTCTGGTGTCAATATGAGGGCTTGATGAGGAGAAGCAGTGCATATACTAAAATTGGAACAATACAGAGAAGATTATCATGGCCCCTGTGCAAGGATTACACGCAAATTCTTGAAGCGTACTAGGCAATCAAGCAGCTAGGCTAATTAAAGTTACTCCCAGCCAGGCTCTTACTAAGTTAAAATGTTAGTGTAATCAAGGACACATCGAAACAAATAAAATCAAGCATTCAATCAATATGAGCCATGGGGCCTGGTTAATTTTATGTCAAAAAAAACCGCATTGGGGGGGGGGGGGGGGGGGGGGGAGGGGACACATTGTTATGATAAAGACGCCAAATGCCCATAATTGTGATCACTTTGTCGCATTAGATGGAGAACATTAAGGTAATTTTCTTTCTTCTTGTGTCATCTCACTGATACCAGGTTTAACCCAGTGTCGTGGTTTTCTGCATTTGTCTTGCACTTTTGTGGTGGCTTAAGTGATGGAGTTGCTTATCTTTTTGCAGATTTTAGCTACACCATTCATCCATCTCTTTCTTGGTCAGCCTCTCGCCTTCCTCCCTGACGTTCTTCTATAAAAAAGTCTCATATGCAGTCTGGCCTGGCTGCATTCTCGCTAGATGGCCGAACCATTTCATTCTTTACCTATCAATATAATCCAGATATGGCCTTATTCCAACTTCTCTCTAATGTCTGTATTCGTAACCCTGTCTCGTCTAGTGTTGTTAGTGACGTTGCGGAGACAACGAATTTCACATGTGGGTTATTGTCTGTTCTAGTGCCTTTATCATTGTGAATGTTTGACAACATAAAGTATGGATTATTTGCTTTAATCATTTGCTGTTTTGGTGAAAGGGAGACATTTGGGTGTCTACTATTGAGCTAATACTCCTTATTAACTGTTGGCCTAAAGAAGGGTATACACGATGGATAATAAATTCCACATGGTCTGTCTTGAGTGTGGGTTACATTTATGGCCCGGTAATGCACATATCAGACCACTCCATTTGGCTGCCAAGTTACAGTGATGTAGCTTGTTCTTTTCTGGACAGCCCAAGTGTTAAAAATACCATGAAATTCTTTGCACTCTTCTCAAAACTTACATTCATGCTGAGATTAAATGTTGAAGATGAAAACATAGATCAAAGAGACATACCAAACACTAAACTAAGGGCATATCCAACTGGGGCCTGGCACCATAGAAGACCTGACCTCATGATCACTTCCGCTGTTCCGTTGATGTAAGCTCCTCCCACCCATGTCGCTGTTAAAACATGAAAATGATTTAACTGTTATTAGATCATACAAATTGATTATTTGTAACTGTAATGTAAACTACCCTTTAGTGAAAGCAGGCGATTATTATTACTGGCAGTAAAAGCGGTTCGCAGAACTGGTGCCGCATATGTTTTAACTATCATCATCCTATTGTGATGTTTTGACAGCAAAACGTACGCAATCTACTCTTCTATTCGGTTTTATCATGTACAATTTGTTCAGTATTTTAGGTGGAATCCAGTGCAGAATCTGTGGCTTCTTCCAAAAACGTTCGTTTTAAGGTTTTTTTTCCCACTCGTTTCTTCGAAAGATTTTGTTTCTATTTCGGTGCATGCTTGGTGAATCTCTGCTCGCCTGGCCTCGAGATGTTCCAAATATATCGCCACTTTCATTACTATTCACTACAATGGCTGCAGGGAGTCGCTGTGGTGTAGCGGCTAGAAGCTCGCTTGCGGATCGAATCCTGACCGAAACGGCCGACCAGGCCTTGAGTGTGTACCGGGTGCAGTACTGGGAAGTAAAGGCGGTGGGCGTGATTTTTTTACTATATGGGTTGAAAAACTGGAAAAAGAGGTAGATGCAGACCGATACAGATTATGCTGAATGGGCTGAAACGCTGGCATGGGGGTGGGGTATCATTGAGAGAGCTGTTCCAGGCAACCAGGGATCAAAATCTTTGGAGATGCACGAGCGCCTCCGCCAGTTCGCAGGGCACATGATGATGATGATGATCAGTTTTACAGCTGACTTCATGTATGCAGACTGCTAGTTCCTCTCCTCAGGTAGATGCTCCCAGTTAGTTGACTCATACCACATGCTTGTTGGGGACCCAGTGGGTCTATTCTTGTTCTCCCCATATGGGGTTCCGGAACCCACACGCGTTTAACCTATACTCAACAAACAATGCTTCTAGATGTTCCGCTTTATAGAGTCAAACCTTTTTGCAGATCATTGTTATCTGTTCCATATATTTATAATACATTAAAAAAATATCATCATCATCATCCCCATCATGCAGCCTGTAGATAAGCAAGGGTGGACATGATTCGCCTTCTCACAAATCATCAGAGTTATGGATCGGGTCCGTGTTTTTGTTTTGCCCCAGTTATACAGCCATGCCATCTAAGTAATATTTCACTTTCTTCCCTTGCTCTTAAAAACGCTGTTCGTCTACGCCTAATGTGTCTAACGAGGCTTTGGTTTTGACCTGTAATGAGAAGGTCTAGTTTGTTTATCATTCCATTTTTATTTTTATTTTAAAGAAAACACATCTTTTCTGCAAGTAAGTGTTTTTCTACGTGCCTGCCAAGCGCCCATATTCCAAATTATGGAGCAGAATGCTGTAGAATGACCAAAAAGGATGTGCACAAGCTATCCACCTTCCACCACAATATACTTGTTGTCCCCTAGTGGGATGCAATTTCAAGCCCCACCCTGGCTTCTGCCGGGTGCCCTAAATATAGCCGGGGCATAGATATGGCCCGGCCATAGATATGACCTAACGGCTGAAAGGGGTTTCTGGGACCTCTCCACGGGTGATTCTCATCCGCATAGTGGCACTTTGTGTCACATGGTGTTTATCGCTTGTGTGATGTCCTGGTGGGGTACAAATACTTACCTACCTACCTTCCACCACACATGTCTACGTAGAATTATTAAAATGTTCTGGCCAGATACAATCTCAAACACTAAAATAATTTAAGTCACTGACCCACATACACACACGTGCGCACGTACGCACACACAAAAACATCTCTAGACAGTATAATAACGAAGAGAAGACGAAATACCATAGCGATTTT